CATTCAGAAGCATCGATGCGTTCGATGATGTCAAGGCGCAGCAACCTGTGAAGTTCATTTGACACTGGTTCCCGAAGTGAATATGGAAGACGGTGCAGCTTCGAAGACCCAACTCGGGACTGAAAAGTGAACCGAAGTCGTGTTCCAAGGCTGGCGGAAGGTTTGCTTTCCTGGGTTGCTCTATTGACTGCATCGGAATGTGACAAAGTGTCGAGTCATTAACACACGGCGGCGGGGCAACGGATGTGTGTAGGCACTCAAGAGTGGAGCCCTGTATTCGAAGATTTAGGGCCTTAATGCCGTCAAGGCCAATCAGACAAGTTCCTTGGTAAACGATGTAGAAAAGAAGTGGTGCAGAGCGCCCTTTAAACTGAATGTCTGCCTGGAAACAGCCTAGCACGGAAATTGGGCGCTTCGAATAGTCAAACAAAGTGACATGCCGAGCTGGGAGGAGCAAACCGCTTTGAAAATGTTGGTGAAATTCTTGCTCTGATAGAATTGAAACAGACGACCCTGAGTCAACAAGGAATGACAACTTGACATGCGCTACGCGTACTTGTATGTAAATTGCGCTGCGAGCGGGATGCTGCACAGTCAAAACTTGCTCAGAACTTCCCCCTGACAAAGCATCGTCATCGATGCCAACTTCACGAATCCTGCCTTGCATTTGACGCTTGCGGTTGCATACTTTCTGAAAGTGTCCCTTGATACCGCAAAACAAACACTTCTTTCCCTGCGCAGGGCACTGTGATGCTGATGCGCGCTGATTCCGCGAGCCGTATCGGAAACAGTGTGGTGAAACGGGACCGACTATCTCTGTCTCGCCGAGGGGGGCGGGGCCCCTGCGGCGCACGCGAACCGCTAGCGCTTGGAGAGTTTTGCTGAAAATGCACTTTTGGCTGGAAATTGAATTTTCGCGAAGAATGCGAATACTGGGAACGACGCCGTACAGAAACAGGCTCGACCGAAGCAGAAAATTCCTTCAGCTCTTCAGCTGCTTGCTCAAACTGAAGAGCGATCCGCACTGCGCTCTCGAACGAAAGGGAGGAACCCTCGAGCAGCAACTGTTCACGTACGCGGTTGGAAACAACGCCGGCAATAAATCGGTCCCGCAGAGCATCATCTTGTGAAGCGAACGAACAATGCGAAACGAGCTCCCGTAAAGCACCAACAAAGTCATGAACGAACTCGCCTGCATGTTGGCTGCGGCGGTGGAAACGATGACGCTCGACGACGACGTTACACGACGTGGAAAACTGCTGCCGTAAGGCGATGAATGCAGCCTCGTACTCGTCAGTAGCGGCCGCGGGAGGCTTCTCTTGTACTTCCGGTGCTGCGGCGCTTGCTGGCACTGCGGCATTTGACCCTGCAGGTAAAGTCCGGTAAACACGCTGCCCTTCCGCCCCCAAACAATGCAGAAGAATGACCTTGCGTCGCACTGGTGGGAACTCAGCTGCTCTGGACGCTAGAAGGTAGACTGTTAAAGTCTGCGCCCACTCCTCCCATGGAAGTGATGGCCGGCCGGGCGTCAAGAGGAACGGCGGCGGCGGAGCAAGGCCGGAGAAACTCATGGCGGGGCGGACCCGGACGACACTCGATGCTGAAGGTAGCTTGGCGTGTTTATCCCATCCTCGTCGCCAATGTGGTGTTTGCGAAAGACGTAAGAAGCACCGGCAGCACCACCGTACAAAAAAAGACGTTTATTGTACGCAACACATCGAATATATACATAAAAGACAGACGTGCCCCCTGGGGGTGAAAGAACACAAAGTAAATACCAAAACTGAATATAACACTGATGCGTCGTCAACACCGTGTTGTAAGAAGTGTAGCAAAGGAGGAAATGCTTATAGTTCATGAGCAGTGTGTTGCTCTTGCTTTCCCGACCATAAAGGGCTGGAGCTTTCGAGACCTATTCATGTTGGCTGCCGCCAGAAGCAGACTTTCCTTAATTTGACATTGTGACATGTGCTACTCTGGACGTAGAAAGTCTTGCTCGGCAGCATTCTCCAAACCAGACCGGTCTCGACTGCGTTGCAGATTTACGTAGGCGAAAACTTCGCGGAGATTTCCAGCGACTCCGTAGTCATCCTCTGCTGAATGTCCTGGCTGCTGACGACTTCGCTATTGTCAGAAATAGTTTTGCTGACATTGTTGTGGCATTGCTTAATAAATTAAAGCGACCTGGGGTTGTCGGCATCCAGTGGCAAACCATTTGGTCTTGGCCATTAGCATGGTGCCATCCACTGGAATGTTCTTCACACGCACTTCTCTGAACCCTCGCCCCGCCGCGGTGGTCTAGTGGCTAAGGTACTGGGCTGCTGACCTGCAAGTTGCGGGTTCAAATCCCGGCTACGGCGGCTGCATTTCCGATGGAGGCGGAAATGTTGTAGGCCCGTGTGCTCAGATTTGGGTGCACGTTAAAGAACCCCAGGTGGTCGAAATTTCCGGAGCCCTCCACTACGGCATCTCTCATAATCATATAATGGTTTTGAGACGTTACACCCCACATATCTATCAACTTCTCTGAACTAGGCATAGAGAGCCTCTTTCACTTTCCCGTGGGCACGAGCTCGCACAAGACAGGCTCCGAATATTCATTGCTCCGCTGCCTTTGCCTTGATATCCTCCGTGTTTTTGAAGAATGTACTTGAAAGTGCTCCGTGATATCCTGATGCCGTTGACATCTTCCATCGTTGAACTTTTTTCGCTTGTCTCTATTCGCTGAATGGCTTTTGACTTTGTCACAAAGTCTGGGTTCTTGTGCTTCTTGACGCTGACCATTGCTTCACAACAAGTAAAAAATTCGAGCAGTCCACACGCATTTGCCCTGAAAGGAATGAAGTGGTATGCAACAACTCGCAGAAGTGTACTCTGTCCAACAAAGCGGCCGGAATGGGTCGTGATGGTTACTTGGAGCAGTGATATACGAAAAGTTTGAGCTGCGATTGGCTAAGCATATACAAAAAGTGTGGGTGGTGGTTGGCTGATTAAAACTCGTGAAGCAGCAACAAAACGAAAAAAAGGGCAAAAAGAGGACGCTCCTTCCTCTCTGAGCTGATGGTAATAGTGAGGAAGCATGAGAGAGAAAAAAGATTTCACAAGTTGGACAATACTGGTCCAGCAGCAGCATAGTCTGAGCTCTGTCCTCTTATGTTTTTTTAGTACTTCGGGCATCGACGAAGCACAGTTGTCACAAAGCCACGAAGGTTGAGGGTGACACGAGTACCGAAGCACAGCTTCTAGCTCACGTGGGTTAAATTTATTCGATGGTGGATGGTGGATAAAAATATCGTTTGGTATAAACGCTCAAATTTCTATGCTTTTATGCAGGATTTTCAAGGAGATAGTTCACCGGTTTGTTATAGCTGAAAATTTGGTATATGTGGGTTCGATCTATCTCTCTTCGACGGTAGTAAGGGAGTTATCTTCTCAGCGAGGGCGATCAACGTGTACGTTGGCATGCTCAACCGCTGTTACGTTTTAAAATTTACTACTTGCAGCACATGAGCCTGCATAACATTCTATATTCAAGTAAAAGTTGAGGTTGCATCCTCAAACCTGTGGCTTCTTGTATTCCTTTGTCATTCCACTAAGTGCAGAAATGCACTCACAAAGGAAGGTGTACGAATTTCTCAGTAATGAAATTTTCTGGGATTACAGGTTGTGTAAGTTTATATAGAAGTGTTTAAAGAGACTGTCTACTGTTTCTTATTGCTTTCCTGTTTTGTATCGCAATAAAAAGCGTACCATGTGCAGTGTGTAACTTTGCAGCGGTTTCTCTAGAAAGCACATAAAAATTTAGAACAGAATTTTTCAGTCCGCGTTGTGTCTTCTTTCATCGATGGTATGATTGCCCGCAACACTGGTTGGTGCCAATGAAAGTCTAAAACCGAAACCGCGTGCAGATTTTGCAGGCTTCATCAAGTTTGGTTATTAATAAAACAAATACCTTAGTGGTCATTCTAGGCACACACACACTTTTTGTAGTTGTCAAGAGCGGCCGTGGTCGCGTTTCTTCGCTGTTTGCAGGCAGGCATGCAGGCAACCGAACACACCGTTGGCAGCACCATTGTGCGCCTATTTGAATGCGTGAGAAAAAAAAAAAAGCGAAAATTGGTCTCTGGCGCAACCTTAAGCTACCTCAAGTGCATAAAATATAACTTCAAGGTAAACATGTTTGTTTTTAAGCAAACTAAGTCTAACTGAGAGGATTTATTGTCTTACCTATAGTTGGGTGACGCTAGCAGTCACTTTTTATCGACTTTCAACATCAAGTTAAAATTACAATTCTTCTTTATGTGGTGATCAATCTTGTCGTTTGCCCTGCAATCAGAAAAAATTTTCCGAGTGGTAGACAGTCCCTTTACTGCTTGCGTTGTGAAGGGGGAGGAGTGCTGCGTTATCCCGTGTTTCACCAACAGAGAGGCCAAGCGGTGAGAGGGCGCATGAGGTGGCACGTAGACAGAGCTTCAGCAAGATTGACGGGAGACGGCTTTCTCGTGTGTATTGCAGGTGGTTTTATGGAGGGTGAAGAAGGGCTAAAGTAGTTGCTTGGTTGTATTGGTACCACATAGTTGAAAAAACAAACAATGCAAAAAATGAGAGACCAGACTATGTGTACTTCGTCTGGTCTCTCACTTTTCACGCTTTTTTTTTTAATTATGGGAAAAAGGGCCAGTGAGCATGCAATGTGTGGCAGCCACTTGCTCGAACAGCTTTTAAGCACTGTCGCCTCAGTGAATTCACTGTTTATTATGGTTTTATGAATTGACGTCTAGGTGAAGTTTAGCATAACCTGAAGAAATTTACATAACCTGAATTTCACCGTCATTGTGGCTATCTTCCATCAATTGACTTCATGGGCAGAACTTTTTCATTATCGGGGTTTACTATTAGAGTGCGAGATGTTCAAATTAGTATTATGCTGTGTGAATGCATAGTGATGCCCGGCGGTCATATATTGTCCAATATTTTGAAATATCTTTCTCGTGTTGTAGGACCCCAGGTGCCAGTGAAGGGCCACATGCCAGCCCCTCAGCAACAAATGGAGACTGGCCAAGCAATCAGTGCACACAGTGCGACTATGGTGAGTCACAGGAGTTTTATTTATTTATTTATTTATTTATTTATTTATAATACCCTCAAGGCCAAAAAGGCATTAAAGAGGGGAGTGGGTAAATACATGAAAAATACAAATAAAACAGTGCAATAAATACAAATAAACAATACAATAAATACAAATAAAACAATAAAATAAAATACAGATAATATTAAAATTTCTGCAGAATGTATAAAAAATAGTTATTTCCAAATACCCCAAAACAGAAGCAATAAGCATAGGTAACAGATTTTCTTGGTTATACAATGTTAACTAATGTTTCGTGAAAAAGTTTGAAGTCAGCGATGGTTGCGACATTCCAGGGAAGGCGGGTCCAATCATGAGATGTGCGGGGAATAAATGACTGAAAGAAAGACCTAGTGTGACATGATACGATTCCTACCTTATTGCGATGACCAACACCATTTGAGATGTATACAGGCTGGAGTATCAGGTCATTATGAAGTGTAGGGGGATAGAAAATTTTATGAAACAGTGAAAGACGGGCGATTTTTCGTCGGTGAGCCAATGGAATAAGTGATAAATTATTTTTCATTGAAGTCATACTTGCAGTGTGATTGTAGTTAGAGAGAATGAACCTAGCAGAGTTATTTTATACTAGTTCAAGAGAGGTGATGAGATTAGCATGACTGGGATCCCATATGGCGGATGCATATTCGAGTTCGGAGCGTATGAGAGACTTATAGAGTACTAGTTTCAAGGAAGAGGGTGCTTTGGAGAAGTTACGTCGTAAGTAGCCGAGCATGCGATTAGCATTGTTAATCACGTACTCTACATGAGTTGTCCAACTTAAGTTATTTGTGATGTGCATGCAAGATATTTATAAGATAAGACAGAATCTAAAGGAACGTTGTTTAGGTGGTAGGTGTTATGATTCGAGTTAGTTCTTGATACGTGCATTATCTTACATTTCTTAATTTTAAGTTTCATTAACCAGATATTACACCAATTAGCTATATTATTTAGGTCAGTTTGAAGTGTTTAGTATCATCAATATTGGTAATTTCACGGCAAATAACACAGTCATCTGCGAACAGATGTATGTTAGAAGTTATTGAAGAAGTTAGATCATTATTATATACAAGAAATAATAAAGGTCCCAACACTGAACCTTGAGGCACACCGGATTGTACTTCAGTGAGTGGTGAATGATGGTCGTTAGCAGTTACGAATTGGAAACGATTAGAGAGAGAATGTTCTATCCATTTAAGAAGGTTAGTGTCGATATTTAGCAAGCTTAGTTTTAAAAGCAGTAATTTATGGCGAACCTTGTCAAATCCTTTGCTAAAATCCAAAAAAATACTGTCAGCGCAAGATGATCAATCCAGGATTTGATGCAGATTATGAGTAAACGAAGCAAGCTGTGTCTCGCAGGAGTACTGTTTTCTAAAACCATGTTGCGCTTTAGCAAAGTATGAGTTTGACTCTAGAAAATTAGCAAGGTTCGACAAGATTACATTTTCTAATAATTTGCAACAATTACTTGTTAGTGATATGGGTCAGTAATTAGAAGGCGAATTTCTGGGGCCAGATTTATAGATTGGAACCACCTTCCCTATTTTCCATTCCTTTGAAAGTTGACAAGTACTCAATGATTGTTGAAATATTTGACTTAGTATCATTGAACTAACTACATTAGTGCTTTTAAGAAATTTGCTATTAATGCCGTCATAGCCAGGAGCGGAGTGGAATGGTAACTTATCTATTAGTTTCAATATTCCAGGTACCTAAATAATTACTGGATCCATGGGCATGTAATTATAGTGGTTAGCATAAGGGGGTATGATGTTGGCGGATTCAGAGTACTGGCTTGAAAATGAATCATCAATAGCTGATGCGCACATGTTATCGGGGATATTATTTCTAGATGAATCTTCTAGTGATATAGTGTTGTTAGTGGTTGGGTTAATCATTTGCAAAAACTTTCTAGGGTTATTTTTCGGTGTTTCAGGTAGTATTTTTGTTAGGTAGTTTTTTTTTTTGCAGTTTTTAGAGCTTTTAAGTAGGCGTTTGCAGCAGATTTGTAAGTTGTCCAGCGCGAAGGTGAAGGCAAGCTTTTAGCTAAACGAAAAAAACGCTCCTTCCGATTAGATAGGCGTTTTAGATGATTGGAATACCACGGCGCTTGGGGATTGGAAATGAGTGTGCGATTAGGGATGTACTTCTTTATCAATTTATGGACTGTGCATGCGAACAGATCCCAGTTAGATAGAAGGGTACGAGATTTAAAATCTCTAACAAAATCATCGTAAAAGTGAGTTAGCTCATTATTTATTGCTTCGAAGTTAGCTTTCCGGTAGTATCGTATGCGTTTCTGCTGTTTAGTCTTTTTACTAGGGCTAATATTGATGACAAAGTTTAGCGAGACGTGGTCGCTGATTCCTGGTAAGTATGTAATGTCGGAGACAAGGTCAGGATGCGTTGCTAGTATTAGGTCGAGAGTGCTTGCTGTATTACTTGTAATTCTTGTGGCTTGAGTTACTAACTGATTTAAGCAATAAACAGAGCATGTATTCGGAAAATCTTCACTTTGCTGTGAAAAGGGGGAAATACGTATCGGCATTGTGTTCCACGTTATGTTGGGAAAGTTAAAATCTCCGAGTAAAAACATAGGTAAAGAAGGGAAACCAGAGCTTACTATGTTGATGGAGTCATCCAGTTCGTTAACAAATGTGGATGGTGAGGAAGGTGATCTGTAGCAGGTACCTATGTTGATGGAGTCATCCAGTTCGTTAACAAATGTGGATGGTGAGGAAGGTGATCTGTAGCAGGTACCTAGAACCAGTTTACAGCTACCCAAAGTTAGTAAAGCCCAGGTTATTTCTAGTAAACTGTTAATTTGGATTGGTGATGATGGTATGTCCTTCGAGACCGCAAGTAGTACGCCTCCTCCTCTGTGCTCGGTGCAGTCACAGCGATGTACCATAAAGTTGTTTGCCTCGTGAAATATTTCTGAGTCTGTTGCTTGTGCGGAAAGCCACGTTTCAGTTACAGCTACTATTTTCGCATCGCATGTATCTATAATGGATGAGAGGGCACAATGTTTATTGAGAACACTTCTGGCGTTAGCAAAGAATACAGATACCGGATGCGATTGACGATGCGATGATATGCCACTGCCCCTCCTTTCTCCCTACAGTGAGGCATTTCGGCCAGTGGAGTCTCCGCGACCGGATTGGTTGCCACACGATCATATTTCTTCACCGCGATCAAGTTCAAAGTTGTAGTAGAAACGTTTATTATTCATGAGCAATTTGTTATAGCGCAGTTTAAACTGCGGGCGCCCAGGATAGCTCTTTGCAAATTCAATTAGTTTTTGGCGAGAAGTGCGGGTACAAAAATCTTCCGTCACTGAAATGTTCTTTTGTCTCAGCTGGTTACGAAGTGGCAAAACTTTTTCTCTGGTCTTGTAGTTGGAAAATTTGGCTATTATGGGGCAGCATTTGGCAGGTGCAAACAGGCCAAGTCGGTGTGCGCGATCAATTGACTCTGTGCAGAAAGATTCAAGTACTTCATTTATCGCTGCTGATAGCTTAGCTTCAGTTTCGTTCCACGTTTCTTTAGCGTCAGCTATACCATGAAAGATTAGGTTGTCACGCCTAGATCTGTTCTCAATCTCATCAAAGCGTGTTTGATAGTTATTACTTCGGTGCGTTAGACCAGATGTCGACGCGTGTACTTCTGATAAATCTTTGCCAAGTTGATCAAAGTCCTTCGATTTTCTTCGAGTTCGTCTAGTCTTTTTTGTATGCCGGTTATTTTTGTTTCTATGTTTTTTTGCCCGTTTTTAATTGCTTTAACATCAGCAGCTAGTTCGGTTTGCACTTTCGAACTTTGGAGTGAACGGCTGTGTATATGTTTGAGTAGTTTAAACATCGCTTTCATCTGCTCGGCGGGATTTCCTGGTAACGAATCAATATCAAGTAGGTTTTCAGAGCGCGTGTTAGGTCCCGGGTTAGTTTCAACATCTCCAGATTGTAGGAGCAAAAAAAGCATGGAAATACAGTCGCATACAACTTCGTACAGCACTTTTGGGCACGGAAACAGTTGCAAAAACGGGTCGTCCGATTTTTTAGCGTATAGAGAAAACTTTGTACACAGCTGCATGATGGAAAACCGGTGGTTAGAAGCCATGCAAAGCGCACTGTTTCCGTGCCCGCTGGAAGGCAAATCGATGCGCCTTGTGCTTAAATAGACCACGGGAGGTGTTGGCGACGTCGATGCGGCTGGAAACTTGAAGTAGAGTCCATCTGTCGCAGTGAAATTGTAGAAAATTTTATCGCCAACCCTGTTGTCCGGTCCGTACGAGGGTGGCAACTTCATCACTATCTCCCACGAACACACGTGTGCCACCGCCGACCACGCTATCAGGAGCGTCAGTAGATTCTGCATGATGGAAAACCGGTGGTTAGAAGCCATGCAAAGTGCACTGTTTCCGTACCCTCTGCCGGTATCGAAATCTTGAGGTATCGAAAATCTCTGTGATGTCTGGTAACACCTTCTTTTGAACAAACAATTAGTGCCGTGTTGAACAAGGCTTCACGTCGTGCACGGTCATTGAAAAAGCTGGTTGTGTGCTCAAATCAGTGGCTGCTTGTGTGCCTTTGTTTGTCATTGCACTACGTGCAGAAATGCACCCACGAAGGAAGGTGTCTGAATTTCTCTGTAATGAAATTTTCTGGAGTTACAGGTTGTGTAAGTTTATATTGAACTGTTTAATGCTTGCGTTGTGAAGGCGCAGGAGCGCAGCATGATTCCGTGGCTGGCCAACAATGGGGCCGAGCGGCGGAAGGGCGCATTAGGTGGCACGGAGACTATTCTCCCGCATCTATTGCAGGTGGTTTTATGGAAGGGGAGGAAGGGCTTTTGATCTGCGAGACGCTGGTCACATGACTGCATGGTCACTTCAGTTTGGCTTAGAAAACAGGTGTAGGTGAAAGCCTAGCTTCAACTTCTAGAGGCATGTT